ACCTCCCTGAACCCCTCACCTCCCTGAACCCCTCACCTCCCTGAACCCCTCACCTCCCTGAACCCCTCACCTCCCTGAACCCCTCACCTCCCTGAACCCCTCACCTCCCTGAACCCCTCACCTCCCTGAACCCCTCACCTCCCTGAACCCCTCACCTCCCTGAACCCCTCACCTCCCTGAACCCCTCACCTCCCTGAACCCCACCTCCCTGAACCCCTCACGTCCCTGAACCCCTCACCTCCCTGAACCCCTCACCTCCCTGAACCCCTCACCTCCCTGAACCCTCACCTCCCTGAACCCCTCACCTCCCTGAACCCCTCACCTCCCTGAACCCCTCACCTCCCTGAACCCCTCACCTCCCTGAACCCCTCACCTCCCTGAACCCCTCACGTCCCTGAACCCCTCACCTCCCTGAACCCCTCACCTCCCTGAACCCCTCACCTCCCTGAACCCCTCACCTCCCTGAACCCCTCACCTCCCTGAACCCCTCACCTCCCTGAACCCCTCACCTCCCTGAACCCCTCACCTCCCTGAACCCCTCACCTCCCTGAACCCCTCACCTCCCTGAACCCCTCACCTCCCTGAACCCCTCACCTCCCTGAACCCCTCACCTCCCTGAACCCCTCACCTCCCTGAACCCCTCACCTCCCTGAACCCCTCACCTCCCTGAACCCCTCACCTCCCTGAACCCCTCACCTCCCTGAACCCCTCACCTCCCTGAACCCCTCACCTCCCTGAACCCCTCACTCCCTGAACCCCTCACCTCCCTGAACCCCTCACCTCCCTGAACCCCTCACCTCCCTGAACCCCTCACCTCCCTGAACCCCTCACCTCCCTGAACCCCTCACTCCCTGAACCCCTCACCTCCCTGAACCCCTCACCTCCCTGAACCCCTCACCTCCCTGAACCCCTCACGTCCCTGAACCCCTCACCTCCCTGAACCCCTCACCTCCCTGAACCCCTCACCTCCCTGAACCCCTCACGTCCCTGAACCCCTCACCTCCCTGAACCCCTCAGTCCCTGAACCCCTCACCTCCCTGAACCCCTCACGTCCCTGAACCCCTCACCTCCCTGAACCCCTCACCCCCTGAACCCCTCACCTCCCTGAACCCCTCACCTCCCTGAACCCCTCACCTCCCTGAACCCCTCACCTCCCTGAACCCCTCACCTCCCTGAACCCCTCACCTCCCTGAACCCCTCACCTCCCTGAACCCCTCACCTCCCTGAACCCCTCACCTCCCTGAACCCCTCACCTCCCTGAACCCTCACCTCCCTGAACCCCTCACCTCCCTGAACCCCTCATGTCCCTGAACCCCTCACCTCCCTGAACCCCTCACCTCCCTGAACCCCTCACCTCCCTGAACCCCTCACCTCCCTGAACCCCTCACCTCCCTGAACCCCTCACCTCCCTGAACCCCTCACCTCCCTGAACCCCTCACCTCCCTGAACCCCTCACCTCCCTGAACCCCTCACCTCCCTGAACCCCTCACCTCCCTGAACCCCTCACGTCCCTGAACCCCTCACCTCCCTGAACCCCTCACCTCCCTGAACCCCTCACCTCCCTGAACCCCTCACCTCCCTGAACCCCTCACCTCCCTGAACCCCTCACCTCCCTGAACCCCTCACCTCCCTGAACCCCTCACCTCCCTGAACCCCTCACCTCCCTGAACCCCTCACCTCCCTGAACCCCTCACCTCCCTGAACCCCTCACCTCCCTGAACCCCTCACCTCCCTGAACCCCTCACCTCCCTGAACCCCTCACCTCCCTGAACCCCTCACGTCCCTGAACCCCTCACCTCCCTGAACCCCTCACGTCCCTGAACCCCTCACCTCCCTGAACCCCTCACGTCCCTGAACCCCTCACCTCCCTGAACCCTCACCTCCCTGAACCCCTCACCTCCCTGAACCCCTCACGTCCCTGAACCCCTCACCTCCCTGAACCCCTCACCTCCCTGAACCCCTCACCTCCCTGAACCCCTCACCTCCCTGAACCCCTCACCTCCCTGAACCCCTCACCTCCCTGAACCCCTCACCTCCCTGAACCCCTCACCTCCCTGAACCCCTCACCTCCCTGAACCCCTCACCTCCCTGAACCCCTCACCTCCCTGAACCCCTCACCTCCCTGAACCCCTCACCTCCCTGAACCCCTCACCTCCCTGAACCCCTCACCTCCCTGAACCCCTCACCTCCCTGAACCCCTCACCTCCCTGAACCCCTCACCTCCCTGAACCCCTCACCTCCCTGAACCCCTCACCTCCTGAACCCCTCACCTCCCTGAACCCCTCACCTCCCTGAACCCCTCACCTCCCTGAACCCCTCACCTCCCTGAACCCCTCACCTCCCTGAACCCCTCACCTCCCTGAACCCCTCACCTCCCTGAACCCCTCACCTCCCTGAACCCCTCACCTCCCTGAACCCCTCACCTCCCCTGAAACCCCTCACCTCCCTGAACCCCTCACCTCCCTGAACCCCTCCACCCTCCCTGAACCCCTCACCTCCCTGAACCCCTCACCTCCCTGAACCCCTCCACCTCCCCCTGAACCCCTCACCTCCCTGAACCCCTCACCTCCCTGAAACCCCTCACCTCCCTGAACCCCTCACCTCCCTGAACCCCTCACCTCCCTGAACCCCTCACCTCCCTGAACCCCTCACCTCCCTGAACCCCTCACCTCCCTGAACCCCTCACCTCCCTTGAACCCCTCACCTCCCTGAACCCCTCACCTCCCTGAACCCCTCACCTCCCTGAACCCCTCACCTCCCTGAACCCCTCACCTCCCTGAACCCCTCACCTCCCTGAACCCCTCACCTCCCTGAACCCCTCACCTCCCTGAACCCCTCACCTCCCTGAACCCCTCACCTCCCTGAACCCCTCACCTCCCTGAACCCCTCACCTCCCTGAACCCCTCACCTCCCTGAACCCCTCACCTCCCTGAACCCCTCACCTCCCTGAACCCCTCACCTCCCCTGAACCCTCACCTCCCTGAACCCCTCACCTCCCGAACCCCTCACCTCCCTGAACCCCTCACCTCCCTGAACCCCTCACCTCCCTGAACCCCTCACCTCCCTGAACCCCCTCACCTCCCTGAACCCCTCACCTCCCTGAAACCCCTCACCTCCCTGAACCCCTCACCTCCCTGAACCCCTCACCTCCCTGAACCCCTCCTCAACCTCCCTTGAACCCCTCACCTCCCTGAACCCCTCACCTCCCTGAACCCCTCACCTCCCTGAACCCCTCACCTCCCTGAACCCCTCACCTCCCTGAACCCCTCACCTCCCTGAACCCCTCACCCCCTGAACCCCTCACCTCCCTGAACCCCTCACCTCCCTGAACCCCTCACCTCCCTGAACCCCTCACCTCCCTGAACCCCTCACCTCCCTGAACCCCCCCTCCTACTCACCTCCCTGAACCCCTCACCTCCCTGAACCCCTCACCTCCCTGAACCCCTCACCTCCCTGAACCCCTCACCTCCCTGAACCCCACTTCCACCTCCCTGAACCCCCTCACCTCCCTGAACCCCTCACCTCCTGAACCCCTCACCTCCCTGAACCCCTCACCTCCCTGAACCCCTCACCTCCCTGAACCCCTCCCAACCCTCCCTGAAACCCCTCACCTCCCTGAACCCCTCACCTCCCTGAACCCCTCACCTCCCTGAACCCCTCACCTCCCTGAACCCCTCACCTCCCTGAACCCCTCACCTCCCTGAACCCCTCACCTCCCTGAACCCCTCACCTCCCTGAACCCCTCACCTCCCTGAACCCCTCACCTCCCTGAACCCCTCACCTCCCTGAACCCCTCACCTTTCCCTGAACCCCTCACCTCCCTGAACCCCTTCACCTCCCTGAACCCCTCACCTCCCTGAACCCTCCCTCCTAACCCTCACCTTGAACCCCTCACCTCCCTGAACCCCTCACCTCCCTGAACCCCTCACCTCCCTGAACCCCCACTCCCTGAACCCTCACCTCCCTGAACCCCTCACCTCCCTGAACCCCTCACCTCCCTGAACCCCTCACCTCCCTGAACCCCTCACCTCCCTGAACCCCTCACCTCCCTGAACCCCTCACCTCCCTGAAACCCTCACCTCCCTGAACCCCTCACCTCCCTGAACCCCTCACCTCCCTGAACCCCTCACCTCCCTGAACCCCTCACCTCCCTGAACCCCTCACCTCCCTGAACCCCTCACCTCCCTGAACCCCTCACCTCCCTGAACCCCTCACCTCCCTGAACCCCTCACCTCCCTGAACCCCTCACCTCCCTGAACCCCTCACCTCCCTGAACCCCTCACCTCCCTGAACCCCTCACCTCCCTGAACCCCTCACCTCCTGAACCCCTCACCTCCCTGAACCCCTCACCTCCCTGAACCCCTCACCTCCCTGAACCCCTCACGTCCCTGAACCCCTCACCTCCCTGAACCCCTCACGTCCCTGAACCCCTCACCTCCCTGAACCCCTCACGTCCCTGAACCCCTCACCTCCCTGAACCCCTCACGTCCTGAACCCCTCACCTCCCTGAACCCCTCACGTCCCTGAACCCCTCACTCCCTGAACCCCTCACGTCCCTGAACCCCTCACCTCCCTGAACCCCTCACGTCCCTGAACCCCTCACCTCCCTGAACCCCTCACGTCCCTGAACCCCTCACCTCCCTGAAACCCCTCACGTCCCTGAACCCCTCACCTCCCTGAACCCCTCCCTGAACCCTCACCCCTGAACCCCTCACCTCCCTGAACCCCTCACCTCCCTGAACCCCTCACCTCCCTGAACCCCTCACCTCCCTGAACCCCTCACCTCCCTGAACCCCTCACCTCCCTGAACCCCTCACCTCCCTGAACCCCTCACCTCCCTGAACCCCTCACCTCCCTGAACCCCTCACGTCCCTGAACCCCTCACGTCCCTGAACCCCTCACCTCCCTGAACCCCTCACGTCCCTGAACCCCTCACCTCCCTGAACCCCTCACGTCCCTGAACCCCTCACCTCCCTGAACCCCTCACGCCTGAACCCCTCACCTCCCTGAACCCCTCACGTCCCTGAACCCCTCACGTCCCTGAACCCCTCACGTCCCTGAACCCCTCACCTCCCTGAACCCCTCACGTCCCTGAACCCCTCACCTCCCTGAACCCCTCACGTCCCTGAACCCCTCACCTCCCTGAACCCCTCACGTCCCTGAACCCCTCACGTCCCTGAACCCCTCACCTCCCTGAACCCCTCACGTCCCTGAACCCCTCACCTCCCTGAACCCCTCACGTCCCTGAACCCCTCACCTCCCTGAACCCCTCACGTCCCTGAACCCCTCACCTCCCTGAACCCCTCACGTCCCTGAACCCCTCACCTCCCTGAACCCCTCACGTCCCTGAACCCCTCACCTCCCTGAACCCCTCACGTCCCTGAACCCCTCACGTCCCTGAACCCCTCACGTCCCTGAACCCCTCACCTCCCTGAACCCCTCACGTCCCTGAACCCCTCACGTCCCTGAACCCCTCACCTCCCTGAACCCCTCACCTCCCTGAACCCCTCACCTCCCTGAACCCCTCACCTCCCTGAACCCCTCACCTCCCTGAACCCCTCACCTCCCTGAACCCCTCACCTCCCTGAACCCCTCACCTCACCCTGTTCACATCACATCCCTGCATTCGCCGTTCCATTCGTTCGCCCCTAACTCCTCCCTCCAACCCTCGTCCTTCTCGCTCCAGGGCGGTTTTCTCGCCGTAGTTAGCTGGCACGGGCAGCCAGATGATATTTGAGGGGCCTCAAAAATCGTCTCGCCGTAGCTAGCTGGCACGGGCAGCCAGATGATTTTTTAGGCGCCTCAGAAATCGTCTCGCCGTAGCTAGCTGGCAAGGGCAGCCAGGCCAGGCCATCAGCGATGGAGCAATGCCCTTGATGCTCAACCATTCCCCCACCCTTTCATCTCTCCACCCACTCATCCTTCCCACCCGTTCACCCCCCTCACCCCCCCGAAACTGTTCTCCCCAGGGCGGATTTCTCGCCGTGGCGGGTGGCAGCAGCCAGTCCGTGAAGCTATGGAGCACTGCCACGTGGCAGGAAGCCACCACTCTCAACCTGCCAGCTGGACCAGCGGCGCCACCCACCGCGGGCGGCAGCAGCAGCAGCAGCAGCACGACCTTGGCCGGGCGGTTTGTCTTGTCTGTAGCGTGGAGCGTGGACGGCAAGCGGCTGGCGTGCAGCAGCATGGATGGCACTGTAGCGATCTTTGACACGTCAACATCGCCCTTCCGGTTCCTGCATTTCCTGGAAGGTCATCACTTGCCTGTGCGGTCCCTGGCGTTCTCTCCCATCGACCCCCGCATCCTCATCACTGTAAGTATTTGCCCTGCCTCCCGCTATAGCCAGGCAAGTTTCGGCCGCCACATACACGTGTGAGACATCTCATTTTTTAGGCGCCTCAAAAACATACACGTGTGAGACATCTCATAGCAGCGCCCTTGCTTCCACTTTCTTTGCCATTTCTTCCCGTCTCTCCCCACCCCCTAGGCGAGTGACCACCGCCACATACATGTGTACGACATCGAGGGCAGCCAGCTCATATCAGCTATTTTCTCTTCCTCTGTCTTTCTCTGTCTTCCTCTGTCTTTCTCTGTCTTCCTCTGTCTTTCTCTGTCTTTATGTATCGTTGTTTCTCTCTGTCTCTCCCCCCTCCCTCACCATCAGGCCAGCGACGACCGCCACATACACGTGTACGACATTGAGGGCCGGCAGCTCATAGCAGCGCTCTCAGGCCACACCAGCTGGGTGCTCAGCGCTGACTGCAGCCCCGATGGTGCTACCATCGCCACAGGTGCGTTAGTGTGAAGCATGGGCTTGAAGACTTACAGGTGTGGGTTCCGTACCATCACCACAGGTGAGTATGTGCGTGATAGTTCTGGGACTGTCTGTGTGGTTCTTCCGAGGCCACTCCAGCTGGGCGCCCAGTGCGGACTGCAGTCCGGACAGTGCTACCATGGCCACAGGTGGGAAAGGTAACCATGGTGCTACCATGGGCGCCCAGTGCTGACTGCAGCCCCGATGGTGCTACCATCGGACGGGCTATGAAGGTGCCACTTTTCTTGCAGCGCTCTCAGGCCACACCAGCTGGACGGTTTCTGCTTGCAGCTGCTGATCTACACTGTTTCTTGTAATGGGGGTGTGATTAGAGTGATGGTGAGTTTTCAAGCACCCCTGGTCACTCCTACTCCCTGCTCGTTACTCCAATCCAAATCTTCCGTCTCCACCCTCCAGGTTCCGCCGATAGTACAGTGAGGTTGTGGGACATTCGGCAGGTTCTCAGCGACCAAGGAGCCTAAGAACCACGTGTGGAGGCGTTCAGGCGCTCCTCTCACCCCCTCTCTCTCTCTCTCGTCCCACCCTTCTCTCCCTCTCTTCTCTCTCTACCCCCCCCCCTCCTCCCAGGCTCCAGCGATCGCACGGTGAGGCTGTGGGACATGCGGCAGAGGACAGCTCTCCAGGTGGCCCAGGAGCACAAGGATCAGGTGTGGGGCGTGGCGTTCCGACCTCTCACCCCTTTTCACCCCTTTTCACTCCGCCTTCCTCCCCTCTCTTTACGCCTCCCTGCAGGTTCCAGCGACCGAAGAGTGAGGCTGTGGGACAGGCGGCAGCGAACGACACTGCAAGTGGCCCAGGAGCACAAGGTCCAGGTGTGGGGCATGGCGTTCCGGCTCTCGTCTCATCCCGCCTCTCTTGCGCCCCCCTTCTCTCTCTCCCCTCTCTCTATTCCTTCCTCCAGGTTCCAGCGACCGTACAGTGAGGCTGTGGGACATGCGGCAGAGGACAGCTCTCCAGGTGGCCAAGGAGCACAAGGATCAGGTGTGGGGGGTGGCGTTCCGGCCACCCGGGGGAGAGGGAGTGAGGGCGGGGAGGTTGGTGAGTGTATCGGATGATAAATCCATCTCCTTATACGACTATTCGTAACTGACATCCGCTTTATGGCTTGCTGCTCCTATGGCATCCGGTTTGTTTCAGTTCGGATCCCATAAGTAAATCACTAGATCTCTCGTGGTGGCTCGTGTTGTGTGCCGTTGTAGAGTAGAGCTGCTGTAGTTTTGATTGAAGGGCCTGCGATATGCAGGGTGTACACATCAAGAATTCAGGGACGTTACGGTACATGCAGCGAAACAAGGCGCCTTGTAATTTGGGCCAAAGGTTTTAACTTTTGTAACCTTCATAATGCGTTCTTGGAAGTTGAGATCACATCTGGCTTCTTGATTCAGTTTCAAACAAGTGAGCTTGAAGTTGCCGCACTTCGCAATATCGAGGTACACAACAGCGCAACACATATTGTTGAAAGAATACGCAATTCCCAAAGGCATTGCTTTCACTCTTGCCGCAGTCACTACATGGCCAAACCACGACCAGGTTTGGCGCTAGTTTCGCCATTGCTCCTCCTCGCCGCTCTCTCGTACGCCCACCTCTTACTCTCACAGCTATTGTAGGTGTGATCTCGCGTCTTGGTCAGAGACCAGCTCCCCGACCTTGTCGCCATCAAAACTTACTCCATGGCGACGCCGCCTCTGGCGGGGCAAGCGGCGGCGCTGCTCGTCTCGTCGCTCGCCATCGCATCCCAGGCTCTGCTCGGTGCGCTGCACCTGCTCCTCTCCGCCTTCCTCCTCCACGTGGCATCCGTCGCCGCGTCCGCCGCGTCCCTCTGCATTTCGCCGCTCTCGTCCCTCTTCCGCGCCTCTAGAAGCACCGCGTCGCCCGCTAAAGCCACGTCACCGTCCGACTCCCGTAACGGGTCACCTCACGAGCCACTCCTTAGCGCGGATGCTGCTGCGGCTGCTGGATCCGTCAGCGGCGACGGCGGCGGCGGCGGCGGCGGCAGCGGCGGCGGAGGTAGCAAGGAGCAACAAACGGACAACGGAGAACCTTGCAATAATAGTGGCCAGGAATACCCGCCGCTTCTGCTGTACGGCGGACACGTGGCGCATCATAGGAGCCAGCCGACGGCGCACGGCTTTAACTACTCCGTGCGATACGCCCTCGTGAATCTCGACGCGGCGCCTGATTGGTTCGTCCGGTCGTCCGGGCGGCACCACATGTCGGCTGACGAAGCCCGCTCGTTCGCTGGGACGGACGGACCCATGTGAGTAGGACTGGCGGGTCAAGCGGGTGGGCCGATGGTGATCAGCCGCTTGCGTGAATCGAAGCGGTTCAGCGGCTGGCTGATGGTGTATGAGATGATCCAGCGATCGCCAGCGGTCGTCAGTGCGCCACCACATGTCGGCTGACGAGGCTCGCTCGTTCGCTGGCACCGACAGACCCATGCGAGTTGAAACGATGGGCCCGTGTGAGATGAAACGATGGGCCCGTGTGAGTTGGAACGATGGGCCCGTGTGAGTTGAAACGATGGGCCCGTGTGAGCTGAAACGATGGGCCCGTGTGAGTTGAAACGATGGGCCCGTGTGAGTTGAAACGATGGGCCCGTGTGAGCTGAAACGATGGGCCCGTGTGAGTTGAAACGATGGGCCCGTGTGAGCTGAAACGATGGGCCCGTGTGAGTTCGGGCTGCAGGTTGAAAGACGGGGTAGAGGTGGGATGATGTGTTGGCTGGCTCCCCCTGCGTAGATGCGCCAAGAGGGAGTCCCCATAGTTGTCAGCGCAGCTCGACCTGCCACGGCTGAGCTGACGAGTCTCCTTTAGCTGAGACCGTTGGAGCCGATGAATGGACCCGTGTGAGTTGAGAATCGGAGATGCACACTCGCGAGGAGTCTATTTTTGAGGCGCCTCAAAAATGAACTCCTCAGCCGATGGATGGACCTGTGTGAGTTGAGAATAGGAGTACGAGATACACACGGAATACGATACATTTTTTTAGTCGACTAAAAAATCACCTTTTGAGTCGACTAAGAAATGGGCCGGTGTGAGTTGAGAATAGGAGATGCACTCGGAATACGATAGAAACGATCACATTATTGTCCCTTCCAGAATATGATTACACGGGTCACTTCAAATTTTGTAACCGCTTCCCGTGTGAGATGGAGATATGATCACAGTTGTCTCCATGTGAGTTGAAATGAGGCTCTAAAGGCACTGGACGTGTGAGTTCCTGCTCTTATGAGCACCTCAGTGAGCTGAGCTATGCAACCCTGGGGAATGAGTAGAAACCTACCACCGTCTATTACTGCTAGTATGCACCGCTTCTGTAGCAACCCCCTGCCCACAACTCCCTACCCCCCCCCCCCCCCCCCCCATCTTTATCTCCCTGCAGCCAGTTTCCTGCTGACCAACCCTGTGAGCATGGAATATTAGCAGAACCCCATCAGCGTCTACCACTGCTGCCACCTACAACGCAGCAGACCCCTTAGAGCAAAACCGCTACCACATCCCCCCCTTGTATCCGTGTTTCCCCATACAGCTTCCTGCTCACCAACCCTGTGAGCATGGGGAACGAGCACAACCCATTCACTGCCTGCAGCTGCCATGTACAACCCGCCCCTACCAACCCCGCTTTCAAATGCGCCCCTCGTTTTTGTCTCCCCGTTAACAGCTTCCTGCTGACCAACCCTGTGAGCATGGGATACGAGCAGAACCCCATCAGCGTCTATTACTGCTACCATGGCTCCAGCACCAGCAGCACTCCCTCGTCCACCAGCAACGGCGGTGGCAGTTGCAGCAAGAGCAGCAAGAGCAGCAAGAGCGAGGCACAGCAGCCCGCGAGGGCTCTTCTACCCCCTGCTGAGAGGGCTCTTCTACCCCCTGCTGAGAGGGCTCTTCTACCCCCTGCTGAGAGGGCTCTTCTACCCCCTGCTGAGAGGGCTCTTCTACCCCCTGCTGAGAGGGCTCTTCTACCCCCTGCTGAGAGGGCTCTTCTACCCCCTGCTGAGAGGGCTCTTCTACCCCCTGCTGAGAGGGCTCTTCTACCCCCTGCTGAGAGGGCTCTTCTACCCCCTGCTGAGAGGGCTCTTCTACCCCCTGCTGAGAGGGCTCTTCTACCCCCTGCTGAGAGGGCTCTTCTACCCCCTGCTGAGAGGGCTCTTCTACCCCCTGCTGAGAGGGCTCTTCTACCCCCTGCTGAGAGGGCTCTTCTACCCCCTGCTGAGAGGGCTCTTCTACCCCCTGCTGAGAGGGCTCTTCTACCCCCTGCTGAGAGGGCTCTTCTACCCCCTGCTGAGAGGGCTCTTCTACCCCCTGCTGAGTCCCTGGCAATCTGCATCGGCGAGGTGAGTCCACTGTGTTTTATTTTGAGTCGACTCAAAATACAACTGCGAGGTGAGTCCACTGTGTTTTGAGTCAACCGCAGTGGAGTGGGCTGACCGGGTGGTCCGTGGAGTGGACTGACCGGGTGGTCGTCCTCAGTTCTATTGGGGGGAGCTGCTGGTCACCTTCCCCTTGTGTTGCGCATGGTCAGCTATGACCTGCGCATGGTCAGCTATGACCTGCGCATGGTCAGCTATGACCTGCGCATGGTCAGCTATGACCTGCGCATGGTCAGCTATGACCTGCGCATGGTCAGCTATGACCTGCGCATGGTCAGCTATGACCTGCGCATGGTCAGCTATGACCTGCGCATGGTCAGCTATGACCTCATACCCGCCTGCCTGCATCCCCACGTGCCACTCTCCTTCCGTCCTCATGTTGCCTCGCTCATCCTATCCTCCCTCTCTCCTTGCCCCATCCTATTTCCTCCTCCATCTCCATCTCCATCTCCATCTCCGTCTGCACGTACCAAGCCTCGGAGACTGACGGAGTCGCTTTCCTCTTCTGCTCTGCGCAGCCCTCCCAGTAGCCCCCTGTGTCCCCCGATCCCCTCCGTCGCTCTCTCCTCGCCCCTCCCGCCCTTGTCCACCTATGAGGAGTCTATTTTTGAGGCGCCTCAAAAATAGACCCCTCCCGCCCTTGTCCACCTACCCAGGCAAATCCTCCCCTTCGCCCTCCCCCCACCCCCCTTCCTCCCCCATTCCCCCTTACACCTCCACCCCAGGTGTCCAATACCCCAGGTGTCCAACACCCCAGGTGTCCAACACCCCTGGTGTCAAACACCCCAGGTGTCCAACACCCCAGGTGTCCAACACCCCAGGTGTCCAACACCCCAGGTGTCCAACACCCCAGGTGTCCAACACCCCTGGTGTCCAACACCCCCGGTGTCCAACACCCCTGGTGTCCAACACCCCAGGTGTCCAACACCCCAGGTGTCCAACACCCCAGGTGTCCAACACCCCAGGTGTCCAACACCCCTGGTGTCCAACACCCCAGGTGTCCAACACCCCTGGTGTCCAACACCCCCGGTGTCCAACACCCCTGGTGTCCAACACCCCAGGTGTCCAACACCCCAGGTGTCCAACACCCCAGGTGTCCAACACCCCAGGTGTCCAACACCCCTGGTGTCCAACACCCCAGGTGTCCAACACCCCTGGTGTCCAACACCCCAGGTGTCCAACACCCCAGGTGTCCAACACCCCAGGTGTCCAACACCCCAGGTGTCCAACACCCCAGGTGTCCAACACCCCAGGTGTCCAACACCCCAGGTGTCCAACACCCCAGGTGTCCAACACCCCAGGTGTCCAACACCCCAGGTGTCCAACACCCCTGGTGTCCAACACCCCAGGTGTCCAACACCCCTGGTGTCCAACACCCCAGGTGTCCAACACCCCAGGTGTCCAACACCCCAGGTGTCCAACACCCCAGGTGTCCAACACCCCAGGTGTCCAACACCCCTCCCTCTTCTTCCTCCCTCCGCCCCTCCCTCCGCCGTCCACCTCCCCAACTGTTTTCCTCTTGCCCCCCACACGCTGTCATCCCCCTGCCTTCCCCCCACACGCTGTCATCCCCCTGCCTTCCCCCCACACGCTGTCATCCCCCTGCCTTCCCCCCACACGCTGTCATCCCCCTGCCTTCCCCCCGCACGCTGTCATCCCCCTGCCTTTCCCCCCACACGCTGTCATCCCCCTGCCTTCCCCCCACACGCTGTCATCCCCCTGCCTTCCCCCCACATGGTGTCATCCCCCTGCCTTCCCCCCACACTCTGTCATCCCCCTGCCTTCTCCCCACATGCTGTCATCCCCCTGCCTTCCCCCCACCGGTACCCCCAGGTGTCCAACACGCCGTGGACGGACCGAGTCACCTTCCTCTTTGCGCCTCTGCTGGACCGCGTGCCCAAGCCGCTCCACGTGTCGCCCTTCATGGTGAGAGGCAAGGGTTGAAAACGAGTGTCATAGCAACGAGGTGGCTTTTGAGTCTATTTTTTAGGCGCCTCAAAAATAGACTCCTCACGTGTCGCCCTTGGTGGTGAGCGACATTGACATACAGTAGCAAGGAGGTGGCTTTGAGTCAGTCAGGTGACCAACCTTTCTTCCTCGTCGCGCCTCTCCGAGTCCATGCGCCCAAGCCACTGCAACACAACATAACAACAGCATAACAACAACAACAACAACAGCATAACAACAACAGCATAACAACAACAACATAACATAACAACATAACGTAACAACATAACATAACAACATCCCCGGTACCGATCCCATCCATGTGCCACACCCCCCTCCTCCCTCATACCTTGCCAGCACATGCAATCCACATGGGAGATGCGAGCATTGCCCCTTCTCGAGTCACCACAAACATGCATACCGCCCCTATTCCCCCGTTCCTCTCCCATCCCGGTGCCACACCCCCCTTCCAGGACATGCAATCCACATGGGAGATGCGAGCGTTGCCCCCCTCCCACCGCATCTCACTCCACATCACCGCTCTGCACCCCGTGCTGGGCAACCAGCAGGGCAAGACCGGGGGGGACGCATGCAAGGAAGCGCGCAAGGAGACTGGGGAGGCGGAAGTTGGAAATGGGGAGGAGAATGAAACTGAAACCAATGGTAGTAGCAACGGTGGTGGCAGGAGCAGTGGTGGCAGCGGCAACATCAGCAGCAGCAGGCTGGGCAGCAGTGTATTCATCGCTTGTCTTGACATCGACTGCCTGCCTGCAGACAAACAGCCATATCTCCAGCCAAACCTACCTCCCTTCCATGCACACCCTGCTGCCTCCCCTCCCTCCTCCTCTGCTCCCTCCTCCGTCGCCCCTCACTCCTTCCCCCCATCCTGTGCCTCCTCACGCTTCCCCTTCCCCTGGCGGCCTCTTGCGGAGTGGCACAGGGAGGTCCGCTGCCGCTGGTTCCTGTGCTTCATGCCGCATCTGGTGGCCTTCTGGATCTACTGGCAGGTGGGTCTGGGGTGGATTGGTGGGTGTGCGTGTACTGGCAGGTGCGTGGAATACGTCTGCGTCCATGGCTCCTAATGTTACCACTAGCTGTACGTGGTTGTCTTCATCCTTCTTGCTCTCCTCCTTCCCTGCCGCTTCATTTACTCCCTTCTGTCTTAACTTCTCCCCTAGGCCTTCCTCCTCTGGCTCAAGGGAGTGCCTCTTTTTGAGCATCCCAAGTACGCTGAGGGGTCCGCCTATGCTGAATCTACATTGGACCGACTCTCAACTGTAGCTTACATTGGCCAGATAACCAGCACCACAACTGCAAAGAATGGAGGGACTGCAAGCCACGCCCTATTAGCATCTTCCAATCAGTGCCCTTTCAAGTGGCGTAATGCGTCAAAATGGCCTTGGAATTAGTAGAAAGAAGCTCACATCAAATTCCATTTATTGCTGGTTGAAGTGAATTAATTTGGCTTGAGATGAAGTTGAAGATGTGTTGTTTGGGTTATTTCTAACACAATCCATCACAAGCCCGACACTTTCGATGTGGGACTTGCGCGAGGCGACTCGAGCCTGACGACGACAAAGGTGGTTCATTCAGCGCCGTACGATTCGCACAATTCAACGGTTGGCGTGCCGACTGCCAGCAACGCTGACGTCTGGTTATTAGCGACGCGGTCGAGTTGTGGCGGGAGTTGGCGTCGCATGCAAGTTTGACCAAGGGACACCTGTCGGCCCACAGGCACCAGACGGAGCAGCGGCAGAACCGAGATGGGTGCTCCCTCCCACGAGCAACTGTCACACCTGTCGCACCTGTCGCACCCGTCGCTCGCTGACTGACAAGGAGCTTCCCTCGTCGCACGGCCTCGGGATTGCCAAACCTGGCGAGATTCCAGGCGAGGAGTCGAGTGTGAGGAGCTCTTGGGAAGATGGACAGATTTTCAACCAGCTGCCCAAGAGGAGGAAAGTCTTAGGTTCGGACTTTTCCTTTCGAGCTAGTCGTCGATTGCTCTAAGTTGGTGTGCTGCGAGGCTTGTGCTACTCTGCTTCGCTCTCTTGAAGCAGCGAACGTTATCCTGCTACGTCTCGCGGTGTAGTAAGAGGAAGCAGCTTCTAAGATCGTGGAACAGTCGTTCAAGTTCCAATCGACGCTAGCTGTAAACCACTGTCGAACCGCAAAATGGTCCCACCGCGGCTCCTGAGCGTGGCGTTGGGAATCCTATCCGTCGCGGCGTGTGCCGCAGCTATTCGGAACACTCAAGGTACGGCCGAACGTTTAGCAGCGGCTCATCGCGTCGTTTGTAGAATGAGAGCATAGGTATCGCGGAAACGCTGTCATCATTCGTCCCTTCTCTGGTTGTGTTCATGGATATTGTACTCTTGCCGAGTTGGCGTCTGATTCTATTATATGGCCGTTCTTTAGTCGACGCAAAAGTCATCCCGTTTTTCCCTGCGATCGTGCGAGCTGTCATATCCCTCTCCTTTCTATCTTTTTCTCTATCTCTCATCTTGCCTTCGTCCATCGCCTTTCTCTCTCCCCGCGTATCTGTGGTCATTCTCGCACGCCAGGCTGTCTGTCTAATCTCCGTCCCACTCGTTCCTTTCTCGCGCTAACTTCCGTCAATTCCGTCGTTTCCGTCACTTCCGTCGTTTCCGTCACTTCCGTCACCTCCGTCGCTTCTCTCTCCTGACCAACAGCCCCTCCGCATCGACTACCGGTCAACACCCCTACGATCTCTCTTGAGTCGACTCAGATACACCCTTCCCTGGTTTTCACCCTTCCCCTGCCTTTCGTCCTCTTTCTCGCCTATTGCGCAGCCCCTCTCCGCATCGATTGCGGGTCCGACAGTCCCACGTCAGCCAACGGCTTGGAATGGCTTGGCGATAAATACTTCAGCGGCGGCGATTCGCACACCATCGCATCCGCAAACACTTATTCGATCAACAACGTGGAATCTACACTCCGCGCTTTCCCCGTCGCCTCTACCGGCTGCTACAACATTCCCGTCGTTGAGGGCCGCTATCTTGTGCGCGTGAGCTTCGCGTATTACAACTACGACGACCGCAACATGCCGCCGTATTTCAGCGTGCTCGTGCAGAACACTGTAGTCGAGAGTGTAGACATGACTGTCGTGCAGTCTAACTTCGTTAGCGGAGCATACTACTCTGACTATATCGCGTACGCCCTGAACGGCAAGCTCTCCGTGTGCTTCCAGGCACAGCCCGGCTCGCCCGGCCCCGCTATAGTGAACTCGTTAGAAGTCCTCCCGCAAGACACTGACGCGTACGACGCCGCGACGCTCGGTAACAAGGTCATTCTCTCCACCTACGTTCGGCTCAACATGGGCGGCGGCCAGGTCGGGCCCGAGCCTGCAGACCCGGGCTTCCGAACCTGGATGGCGGACGTCCGGCCGGAGCAGGGTAACTTCTCCGTGGTTACAAAAGAGGCCGGCACCGCTCCGATCGCCGGCACGGGAGTTGCTCCAGACTACCTCCCACCAGCAATTTTGAAACTGCCCGTGCTGCCCTGACGCCCCTGGCGAACAAGACCGGCGCCGGGCAGCCTGCTGCGTCTCCGTCCCAGGCGACGGGTTTCAGAATGACCGTGCTGCCCGTGGACCGGTCCAACATGTGGTATATCCGATTCTATTTCGTGGAGCTCGATCCCTCCGCTCAGCCCGGCGACCGCGTGTTCGAGATTCTGCTGGGCAGCGGTAACGTCGTGAAGAGCATTGGTAACCAGGCCGGCGGGTTCGACATCCGCGCTAAGGTGGCCCCGTTAACGGCGCTGGTGGTGCCGGTATTTTTCAACTACTCGCAGTACTCGTCGAATTATGGGGAAGATTTGGAGGTGGGCGTGCGCACGGTGGGCGGCAGCCGGCTGCCCGCGGTGATTAGCGGCGTGGAGCTGTTCGAAGTGATTCCGCAGACCAGCACTGAGAGCTCAGGTGAGATAGTAGGCATGAAATGTATATCTGTGCCGTTGTGAATGCGAGAGAATGCGCACGGTGGGCGGCAGCCGGCTGCCCGCGGTGATTAGCGGCGTGGAGCTGTTCGAAGTGATTCCGCAGAAGTGATCCCGCAGACCGGCAGTGAGAGCTCAGGTGAGAGGTGGGGGATATTGGGAGAGTTCAGGTGAGAGATTCTGTCTAGTGATAGCGCGGCTGCTTACTCGACAATTATGTGCGGGGTTGAGTGTGGGGTTTGAGTGTGTAAGTTGAGTGCGTGCATGCGAGAGGGTAGATGCGAGCACAAGTGAGAGCTGCGATAGAAAGAAGGGGAGGGAATAGGAAGGCAAGAGAGTGCATGTGAGAGAGGCTGTCTGATTGCCGTTGTGGATTGAGTGTGTGTTATCCCCTGCGGCTGTTGTCACTGTGTGTCCCGTGCGGCTGTTGTCACTGTGTGCACGCGTGCATTTGGCTGTGCGTGCGAAGGGGCTGCGTGGGATGCCGTGCCTTGGCGTATGGAGGCGAGGAAAGGGGACGTGAGAATGCGGGGTTTGTCGTGGGTAGACTGATAGATTTTTACCTATGGAAGGAGATTAAGGAGCAGATGGAGAACGAGATGAGAAGGACCAGGACGAAAGCGATTATTGGCGTTTGGGATGAACGGAATTGTATTTATTTGCAGCTGATGGAAAATTCTAGGAGTGCTGGAAGGGGTTTCTGTGAATGCATGAGTGCGGCTGCTGTGCTAACACGGCACAGTATTGCCCTGATCACTCACCACCATCCCTCACCTCATTTGCTTGCCTGGCTCTCCCTCTCTCCCTCTCTCCCTCTCTCCCTCTCTCCTTTCTCCCGAGCCACCCGAGCCACCCGTGTCTCCCACCCAGGCTTCTCATGATGGCTGGAGGCGATAATGGCCATTGTGATTGGCAGTCTCTTTGTGCTCGTCCTCCTCGTAACGCCCCTCTTCCGTCTCGTGCCTCCCACCCACACCCTCCTCTCACTCCTTACCCTGTGCAGGTCTCTCCGGGGTAGCAATAGCGGCCATAGTGATCGGCTGTCTCTTCGTGGTGGTGCTCATCGTCCTCGCTGTCGTGCTCATCATGCGCCGCCGCAGGGCAAGGGGGTCCGGGTTCAGCCAGATAGTGGAGCAGTAGATGATACACTGAATCTGGACTGGAGCTATTCCCCCTGGCTACTGCCCCATTGTGAAGGAGCAGGTAGTGGAGAGAAACATCCTCTTATACATGTGTGCTTGCATTGCACTTGCCTCAGCCAATGCGGCCTCCAACCTCTCAAACTTAGTTGTCTTTAAGTAGGGATGGTTACCAACCTCTAGTCCAATGGATAGCATTTCCTTGCAGATTTCTTTGTACCGTAATCCCCCGTATAAAACACCCGCCGGAATTAAGCTCCCCCGGGTAGCTTGAGCGGGTATGGGTGTTTAATTTTTCTGGATATACACAACACCCTACTCTCGGACGTGAAAACATTTGAACACCCCCCTGCCACTAGAATCTCCATTTCTAGCAGGAAATGACAGAATTTCGTGTTGCGTCGTTCCGCGGCTCAATCGCAAAAAAAAACTGCTCGCGCCGAAAATTTACTGTACAGATTCCCGCGTGTCGGAAACAATGTCGCCTGAACAAAGGTTTTGAAACATGCCCATGAATCTCGGCAGGCTGAACCTGACGTTGCACCTTATGGAACAGCACTAAAATATTTCGCGTCAGAATTCGCGACACTGTAGCTCGCGAGCCTGGGAAGGTTCCCTGGGAAGAGGCTACGCTCTTAGGTAGGAGACGAATCTGCCCGAAAGAAAAAAAAAATCGACGAATACAAATCCGAAAGTTTGAGACTGTACTCGACTTTCGCGCGTCCCGCCAAATTAAACGTGTGCTCATTGGTTGTTCTGACAGCATCCTCCCTGACACTGCATGCTCACTGCCAATGTGGCATGCAGATCGGGAATATCGTCCAGTATGCAATGAGGTGACCAAAAGTGGGTATCTGACTCAAATGAATGTGGTGAAACATGCACACTTGAATTCCAATTATAAAAACCATATGCACATTCCATAACTCCTGGGTGTTTTATTTTTTTGGCCTTTAATTACACCCAGCCCAAATTTTTGCTGCATTTTTATTAACACCATAGGGTGCTTTATACGGGGGATTACGGTATGACATTTTTCAAGCGTTTAGTACATTGCCTTGCCATGTAAAACCTAGTCATAGACACCTAGGTTAGGTGCTGGAAAATGTTGTGAGTGTTTTGTAAAGCCCCTTCCCTCCCAAGCCACCATGCCCTTCTTAGAACTGAGTAATTGAATGACTAGAGAGAGAGAGTACAAGTGAATATACCTAAGTGTTGTACCCTCTAAGAGGCAACCCTATACACTCTATACAAACATTAGAGATACACATGTTCGACACACCCCCTAGACTGCATAGGGGCAGGTCCTGAACAAGCAGCTCAGGGCGGCACTACTAGTCCAGCCACTGAGACAAGGGTCTAAAGACCAGTCAAAAAGGAGTACATGCAGGGCAAGATCAAGACCAGGGCGGCACTAGTCCAGCCACTGGGAGAGGACACAAGTCCAGTCTGAGAAAATATATATATAAAGGACAGAACAAAGTCAAGGCCCTAGCAAGTGAGAGGCTACAGGAACTAGACCAAGCTGTACACAGTGCCGCTGATGATCTTTAGGTGCGAGCGCCTTTGTAAAGATATCAGCTGTGTTGGCACCTGAGGCCAAGTGTACTACGCGAGCCTGGCGGCGCTGCTGTAGCTCGCGCAAGAGGAAGTACCGCAGCTGGATATGCTTCGCTTTGCCCTCAAGTCGAGGCTCCTGACACAGGAGGATCATGGCCCTGTTGTCAGCGTACAGGACTGGGGCAGAGCTAGGCCGCTCACCTAAGTCAGTGAGCAAGAAGGTCAGCCAGCGGAGCTCCTGTGCCGCCATGGCACCGGCGTAGATCTCGGCCTCACAGCTGGACTGGGCAACAGACGAGGAGCGAGTAGCTCTCCACGAGACGACACCTGAACCAAGGCTGAAGCAGTAGCCCTGGGAAGACCTGAGCGTCTCGGCGTCGTCTGCCCAAGAAGCGTCTGTGTGTCCAGTAAGGACCACTGAACTGCGTCCTCCTAGCACTAACCCCATGCCCGATGTACTTGCAAGATAACGCAAAACCCTCTTAGCGGCAGACCAGTGCTGCGGTCGGTGTCTACCTGTGGCCACTATAGCGACGCACCTCTCCAAGGCTAGTGCAGGTGTGTCTCTTCAGCAGCTCTGCCTTCACGAAGGCCAGTGCGTCCCTGTTTGCTGTGGCAAAGACCAGATCATCCACGTAAACAAAAATGTAGAACGGAGTCTGGCCAGTATGAACGAAGAGTGAGGGGTCTGCGGAGGACGGAAAGAAGTGCAAGTCAGCAAGCGTAGCACGCAGCGTGTCGTGCCATTCACGGGGAGCCTGCCGCAGGCCATAGACGGGACGCCGCAGGAGCCACTGGGTCCCAGGAGGGAAGGTGCCAGTGAATCCCTGAGGGCGACGCAGGTAGACCTGCTCGTGTAGGCTGCCCTGAAGGAAGGCAGTGGAGAAGACGAGGGAGTGAAGCTCGAAGTCACGCTGAGCAGCTAGGTGTAACAGAACCCGAAGAGTAGTCATCTTCGGGGTCGGAGCGAAGGTCTGGAAGAAGTCCACCCCCTCACGTTGACTGAAGCCTCTAGCGACGTAGCGCGCCTTGAACACCGGCGGCTCTCTAGGAGGGTGCTTCACCTTGAAGAGCCAGCGGCCATCGACTACATTCACCCCAGGCGAGGGAACTGCGTCGATGAAGGTGCCGGTGGATCTCCAAGATGCCATCTCCTGCTCCATGGCAGCTATCCACTGAGAGGCCCAGGGTCCCGAGGTCGCCTCAGCGTAAGTGCGAGGGGTCGGGATGTCGAAAGCGTCTGGGTCACCCTCAGGGACTAGCAGCATGGAACAGAGATGGGGAGCAGCCTCGGAGAGGAAAGCAAGCTCGAACTGGCGGTCCTCCAGGACGTCACTGCCAAGGGCAGGAGCACCCCCGACAGACGGAGGACAGGCAGGGTTAGAGACCAGAGCGGTGGCGTAGTCAAGGCGGCGGGTAGAGGCGAAGTCAGCGACCGCAGCGACAAGAGCGTCAAGACACGAGACCGGAACGGACGGGTCGGTAACAAGAGAGGCGAGGACCCGAGGAACAAGAGGACGAGCAGCACGAAGGTAGTCAGATAGAGGAGAAGGCGCAACGGTAAGAGAGGACGGAGAAGGCAACGGGAGAAGGGGAGGATGAGACGCGTGGGAACGGAGCAACATAGGGTGAGAGCGCGTGGCAGGGGAGACAGGACGAGCGCGGGAGGGACGGCAGGACCAGACGTGAGACGGAGGCGTCGGGTCAGGAGACAGAGGAGGGGACACAAGGGGGGAGCGAGGGGGAAGACGAGCCGGGGACGAGTCCGGCGGAGGAAACACAGGGCCGTAGACAGGAAGAGAAGGAGACGGCAGGAGAGGAACAGACGCAGGGTCAGGGGACGGAAGGCCGAGCAGGCGCAGGGCTGACACCGGCGGGGACTGCTGCGGCGGCGGCATAACACCAACACCGGGACCGCAAGCTGCTCCTCGGCTACCTCCGGGACACTCCACTGCGGCACCCCCAGAAGGAACACCCCTAGAGCCCGAAACCCCCCGAGCACCAGTACCACCCCCAGGGCCACCGGGGCAGGCCACAACATGAACCCCAGCATTAGCACCCACCCCAACGCGGGCACCCCTGGAGTCGATGAACTGCTGCTGCGACGGCGGCGGCGACGGCAGCGGAGACGACGGCTGCGACAGCAGGGGCGACGGCGGCTGCAGAGGCGGTGGTGGAGGAGACACCGGGGAAGGGGCAGACGGCGAGGACTGCGGCGCAGGACCACCAGAGTCAGAGGACTCCTCGACCGGGACAACCGATGGGAGAGGGGTGACGTGGGACACACGAGAGGGGGCAGGACGGGGAGGGGGAGGGGGGGGGGCAGGGACCACCTGGGAAGGAGTGACCAGGAACAGGGGGGGGTAACGGGGGGATCGCGGTGGGGGAACCGACAGTAGAAGTAGACGAACTCGTCAAAGGTGACGTCGCGAGAGTGAAAGAACCGGTGAGACGGCGGGTGGTAGAAGAGCCAGTAGGACGCGTCAAGGGGGAAACCTAGGAAGACGCAGGGAAGGGTGCGGGCAGTGAACTTGTCCGTGCCAGAGGCACAAACGTGAGCAAGGCAGCCCCAGACGTGAAACGCAGACGCGTCACCAGGAGACCCGGTCCAAAGAAGGGTCGGCGAAACCTGCGGCCGCTGGGGGTGCGGCCACAGGTAAAGCTGGTGAGCAGCGTAGCACACGGCGAACGGCCACAGAAAATGGGGTGCACCGGCATGGATCATGGAGGTGCGAGCCACCTCCATGACCAAACCGATGCGTCGCTCAGCGACCCCATTCTGCTGTGGGGAGTCCGGCAGGGTGAACGTCTGGGTGATGCCCTCCGCACGACAGAAGCGACCAAGGACACCTGAGGCAAACTCGCCACCACGGTCGGAGTGAAGACGCAAGACAGGGAGACCTCGGTGGACACGGGCAGAGACAAGCCAGGGGATGAGAGCGCTAGGCACGTCGGCCTTGCGCTCCAGGGGAAAGACTGTGGTCTAGCGAGTGAAGTCGTCGACAAGCACGAGGAAGTAGCGCTCTCTACGTGGCCCATGGACGGGGGCGGGGCCCCAGACGTCCATGTGCAGGGTGTGCAGCGGCGCGGCGGTAGGGGGAAACGAGGAGGAGTGAGGGGCACGGCGAAGCCGACCCTCGACACAAGGCGTGCAAGGTGGGGCTGGGGAGGAGGGAAAAGCGGGGAACGTACCAGGGAGACCAAGGAGGAGACCGTGCTGGGACATGTGACGCAGGCGCGGGAGCACAGGGTGACCTAGGCGGTGGAGCCAAAGGAGAGTCGGGTGAGTGAGGGACCAACAGGAGCAGGCAGCAGCAACTTGGGTAGACGCATCCACCTGAAGGGGCGCCTCAGCCGGGGGGGTTCACGATGTCCAGGGTGAACAGGCCGGACACCGGGTCCCGTGGGAACGTGGACAGGGGGGCACCAGTGGCGGCCTCGGTAGAGACAGCATACCGCTCGTGACCAGGGAACGTAGTGGTGACGCCAAGGTCCTGGAGGCAGCCGACACCAACTAGGTTCCTGGAGAACGAGGGGATACGCAGACCTGTGAGAGAGCCCAAAGGAACCGCCGGACAGGGAAGGGTGGTGGAACTGTGAGCGACGACTGGACCGCCAGAGGGGTCAGCAAGAGAAACTGTAGCATGAACAGGAAGCGGCGTCAGCGTAGTAGAGTCGCGGAAGAAACACCCGGAAGCGCCAGAGTCCAAGGTGAAGGAAAGCGAAGCAGTGGCGGCTGGCGACGGGGCGACGGCGGAAG